CCAGGAGTAAGGCTTTCTACTATGCCGATAACTCGGCGTTGCGGTCCGTGATACTGATGTCTACAAGGTCAAAGTCTCGGGCAGCATATGTCAATGCCATGATCGAGGCCACCGAGCGCAGGAAGGACATTGAGGCCAAGATGACGGACTTGGTCTTGAAAATCAACTCGTCGACGAAAGAATTGGAGGCCATGATGATGAAGGGCTATCTGGGGCGGGAGGAAGAAGTCAAGAGGACCAAGGATCAAAAGTCTTCGTAGTGGAACTGCAAGGGCTCTTGGGTGGTTCCTATTAAGCTATGACGGGGACTATGCTCTGTTTGATGATCGGGATGTTGACCTAGAACTTGCCATTTTTCGGACAACGCAGTAATTTAGGATGACGTAAATCAGAAGAGTTTACTTGCGTAAAGTCATTTCAAGTTAGTATGCCTGTAGCAGGGCCAATGGCAGGAATGGCAACCCAAGATGCCCAGGTGCAACACCAACATGATCCGGATCCGACCACTTTCGGCTGACCAAGAGAATCACGCCACTGCTGATTGGGTTGTGAATCGGAGAGGAATACCCATGGATTGCTTGCCCGCATGTCTAGATTGTAGTGTACACGGCCTCACGGCCCAGCGCCTCGTTTTGTTCTACACCTGGAAGCCATATCCCGTCATACAGCTGCGGTACTGCTCGACCAGCGACTTGCAATCGGCGGCCGGGTCCTTCGCATTAGAGAACAGCATGCACTCGTCGCGTTTCGCCTTCTCCTCCTTACATACACAGCAGGGCTGTGACGGAAATGTTAGAGTCTGGTTCGAATTGGCTCGGGTTCGGGTTCGTCTCGTCTCACCTTGGGCTTCGTGGCCTCCGTGGTCGTCAACTTGACCGCAGCGGCGACGGATGCTAGAGACGAGGTTAGCCGGGATTCAAATGCGAGGGCGCGGGCGCCGCCATTGGGACGGCGTCTGGGACAGCCCGGGGAACGTACGGAGGGTGGCGGCTTGGGCGTCCATGGTGCTTGACGGCGGCTTTGGCAGGGCTGAAGGTGTAGACTGTGAGGCTCCCATCTTGACGATCCGCGGGTAGAAGAATGCTCAGCTAGCAGGTCATCTTTTTTCAAAATGGCGATTGATGAGCAAGTATTCGGCTTGCCGGTAGATTTCTAAGCTTGCGCTGACCAATCATTTGTCCGCGCTCACGTGGCATCGCGAATCCTTCGCGAAGCATTCAATTAATTCACTGACGTCATTTAGACGGGCGTGTTCAGTACCTCAGACATTATCCTCACGACTTTTTATAAAATCGAGGTCTACAACGCATTGTATCAAGCCTGGATGAGCAACACATTAGGGCTGTTGTCTTCAACAGTCAGCCTTTACTTCAGATCGGAGGCTTTCTTAGTGCATCCCGGCATCCCGATACAGTGGCTCCACTGGCCGTCAGATCCCGGAGCAGCGTTAGTTTGGCCGGGTTTAGAGCGGAATAGGATCACTACCTTGGCCCACTACGAGGTTGCATACTTGATCTCAGACATGTAAGTCGAATCATATTCTTTCTCCTCGACCTGGTCGCTTGTGCCATCGGCTATCAGCCAACTGAGCTGTTGAAGAGACTTAGTCTATTCATCAAAGGTGGTGATGATACGCTCTGCTGTTAGACCACCACGAACGGGTCACACATTATCTCGCCTAATAGGCAAGTCTGAACATTCTCGTTTCGTTTCAGACCAGGCCCATAGTCTTGGACTCATACATGCGGTACGTGACTTCAACAATCACCTTGACAAAAGTCCAAGACAGTTCCCCGGAATTGTGAGTAGAGTTTTGACTAGAGATCGAAAAGTAACTTCTAACGCTCACGCAAGAACCCCAGCCGCCCTCGGTGAGGTACACCCGATATTGAGCCAGCAAGTGCCCTATCATGTCCCAGAAGACTTTGAATGACATACGGACTGAACTTGCCAGCGACGGCCCTATCGATCGGTGTCCCGGATTGTAGTTCGACCTGTGGTAGTTATAGTGAGTGATCTAGAGGTGGAGGCGTGGTTTGTGACTGTTTCAGCAGTTTAGGCGGTATCTTAGTGATTAGCTATTGACTACTTACGGACATGCAGTGGAGCATGTCTTTCTTCAAACTGCATATAAGACACTCCTTCACAAATTAACAGATACCGGCGGGCTAACGCCCAATCATTGAATCGGCGAGCTCGCCCGCAGTCAATGATTGGGCGTGTAGCGTTGCCAGCCGATCTCGATGCACGCAGCTGTCACATGTCACAAATCATTCATACTAGCTTTAATATGACTTTGACTTGTGAACCAACTCGCGTCGATTATTATTCGTAATGGGACGCGAATCGCTAGTGCAAGGCAGAACGAGTGACGTAGACCTGCCAGTTGTGCAAATGGGTGTGAAGGACGAGTACAGTAACTACATCATGACGAGGAAGAAGCCCAACACAAAATTAAAGCCTAATGAACCAGATCCTTGGGGGGAATACTTGAGGCGCGATGGCAAATTTGTTCCAGTTTGTCAAGCGGAAGTACGAGCAGCTCCGAGGTGACGGTGACGATGACAAGCCGCGCGGATCTTTTAGATCTGGCCGGGGATAGAACGTGGCGATGGTAGTACCCGCAGGCAAATCAGGGGAATGAAATGAGTCAGCGCCTCAGGCGGGGAATTTCAAACAAGGCGAGCTGAACCAAGAAAGACAAACAGAAAGACAGGCCTTTCTCGTTCTTTTCCTTTCTGGCGCGCCCGGTCAATAGAGATGACCGAGGCCCGAAACCAAATGTGGCGACTTTTTGTGGCGGGTGCCCGTCACGTCTCCGGACTGAAGCTTCCCCGGCCGCACTCATTGGCTGGCGTCGGCACCCTCGGGACCGATGAGGTTGGCCCAAGTCCGTGACACACTCAACACCAAGACCGAAATCTGGACTCCAAAGGGGACGCGCGGCTGCCCGGTCGCCTCTGGCATGCCTCGGAGACGGCGTCCGAGTGGTTCGGCGAGGCTCTGGATGGTTCGATCCAAGTTCAGCCCTACTGCCTGGAACATGGTCGGTCAGGCAGGTTCCAGGTGTGCGTTACGTGTGTTGGTTGACGTGTGTTCGTTTGCCTCCGTTTTGCCTCCCTCACAGATATCCCAAGCTACATGTCGACCTTCATAGGAAAGCTATATAAAAGGGTTTGGATCATCCGTATTCCCAGTCTGATTCCCTCATCTCCATCTCCATCTTCATCTCATCTTCATCTCTCCCAGATCAAGACCTCCTCCCCCCAAAAACCACACAATCCAATATTACAACCACAACTACAACTCGAGCAAGTGCTTCATCATGGCTCCCTCTCAGCAACCCTACGCAACGCCCTTCTGGGAATTCGTCCAGTCACTAGATCCCAACCAGGGCCCGGGCCGCGGCGTTGACTACAACGCCCCTCCTCCCTTCTCCCACTTTGGTACAGGCTTCCCCTTTGGCGGCCCAGGAAACCAAGGCCCTGAGGCTCCTCATCCTCCTCCCCCGGGACCTCACGGAGCTCATGCTCCTCCTCCCCACGGCTCCGGCGCCGAATGGGGTCCTTGGTTCCATGGCCCGGCATCCGGTCCCTGGGAGCAGCATGGCCCCTGGGAACACCACGGCCGCCGAGGCCATCGCGGCCACCGTCATCGCGGCGGCATGAACGAATGTGAGCCTAGCGGCGAAGAGGGCTGGAACTCAGCCTCCGACACCGAACGCGGTGCCGACAAAGAAAAGCGTGATTCGTCCGATACCATGCCCGCTGATGCCCCTGATCCTGCCGAGGTCGCCCCCGAGGACGACCAGGCTCCTTCTTCCCACCCGCGCTTCCAAGGCCGCCGAGGCGGTCGATGCGGTCGCGGCCGTGGCGGTCCCGGCGGACGGGGTGGACCTTGCGGCGGCCGTGGTGGTCCCGGTGGTCGCGGCGCCTTCTTCGGAGGCCACGGCGGTCCTCACGGCCACTTCCCGGGCGCCCAAGCTCCTCCGCCTTACCCCGGCCAGGGCGGCTTCCCCTTCGACTTTGGCGGCATGATGCGCGGTTGGGCCAACCATCCCGTGTTCCGCAACCTGCGCGAGCAAGCCCAGCGCTTCCAAGCCGCCCAGCCCGACGGCGACAACGACAACTCCTTCACCCCTCCGGTCGACATCTTCGACACCGAGACGGCCTACATCCTCCACGTCGCCCTGCCGGGAGCTAAGAAGGAGGACATCGGCGTCAACTGGGATGCCGACCGCAATGTCCTGAACATCGCAGGTGTAGTCCACCGCCCCGGCGACGAGGCGTTCCTCCGCACCCTGTCCTCCGGCGAGCGGAAGGTGGGCATGTTCGAGCGCAACATGACTCTCCCACCGGACGGCGCCGATCAGCGCGACGAGGTTGACAGCGCCGGCATCACCGCCAAGATGGAGGACGGCGTGCTCATCGTCACCGTCCCCAAGGTCGAGAAGGAGTGGACGGAGATTCGGAAGGTAGACATTGAATAATGGCCTCGTCCGTAAAACATGGTTGCTTCTCCTTTATCTACGGTAAATTATTTAGTACGTATGAGAACTCGGGATATGCAACAGAACCTCGGTAAGAATAAGCATAATATGATTTGGTACGGATTTTACGAGTATATAGCAAAGCTTTAACAGAAACAAGCACAATATGATTTGGATTTTTTGGTGGACTCTTCTTTGCCTCTCTCGTTGTGAATGAATAAAATAGTGATTGTCTTTTGATTTCTCCTCGACGTGAAAAATTTAATCAGTGTCTAGATTTGATTCCTTTCCGAAACGAAGTCTAGAACTACAATTATTTAACCGTACATTTTCTAGCTAATCAAGTCTATATGCTTTCTCATCGGTAGGAAGATAAAGGAACAGACAAATTAGCAAGTTAACACCCTCAGGAGTCAACGTCTCGAAACAACCTCCATTGCATCGGCATTATAGCTAGCTACCATATGTGTATAGGGACTATTAGTAAGGTACTCCGCCATTAAGAATCATTCCCCGAGTAGCTCAGCTGGAAGAGCGTTCGGCTGTAACCGCCCCTTCGATTACCGAAAGGTCACCTGTTCGAGCCAGGTCTCGGGGAAACTTGCATTTTTTGCTCTTCATCACGAATTCTTCTCTACGGAGTAGTTTGTTCTCCCCTTTTTGCTGTTTCCAATCGTCAAATTGGAAGAGCGTTGTTGATCCAGACCGCGCCAACTGTTGTGTATGTACCTGTAAATCATGTCACCCGTATCAATGGTGTCACATCGTGCTCAATTAAAACGCCAGGGAGCAACGTAAATTCATTAGACTAATAAGGAGTGTTTCTATACGTAAAAGAAAATATTCAAGGTGTAGTGTTCAGACTTCCTCAGTCGAACCAAACTCATCTGCGCCTAAGCCTATGCTATGGGTATATCTTGAATGGAGGTAGATCAAGTGGCCGAGGCCACATTGTCCTCATGTTCCCAACTGGTGGTACTAAGAAAATGCTGTATGTTCTGTATATAAAAAAGGCCGCACAGTTTCCTCATTCAATCTGTAAGTCAATGTCAATCCATTTCCTCCAAAAACATTATTAAAAGAAAAAACTCCGGGTATCCGAACGTCAGTCATCAAGGCGAGGATGAGAGAGCACTCCAAGGTAGAGAAGATGCTCTCCTCGCAGGAGAAAGGCCAAGGCTGTCATCACTAGGCCAGTTCTCTGGTAATCTCCTCGCGCACGTGGCGAGACCACTTGAGGATTGCGGCCTCGAAATCGATCCAATACTGAGGGCCGCTGTTGTAAACGATGCCGAGCGCGTCGATGGTGAGCAGAACCTCGAAGCGCAGCTCGGCCGCCTTCGCCCAGTAGCGCAAGTTGTCAGCGGACCGATAGGGCTTCAACGTGTCGGTGTGGAAGGTCGGGATGGTGCCGAAACGCCGTCTTGACTTCTTGACGGCGTCGTTGTGAAGCTTAACTAGACGCAGGCCGTTCTGAAAGGTCTGTAGAAATGGCGTTGGGATCTCAGCTGCCTCAGCAACCGGAGTCCACTCGGGCAGCGGCTCGGCGGACGGATCCATTGACATGAGAAATTCCCGTTCGCGTTCCAATTCTCGGCCAGTCCAATCGCCACTGAGCCAGGTCCAGCCCTTCCTCTCCTCGGCCTCCGCGTCCTCTATCTCCTGCTCCTGCTTCAGGATCCCAAAGACGCTCTCGATCCAAGAGTCCATTGTGTTGATCTCATCTTCCTTCATACCGTCTTTGAAATTCCGGGTGGCCATTTGTTTTAGAACTTCCATGACCGCTAGAAGATCGGCTCGGATCTGCTTCTCGGGTTTTATCGAGTCCAGTCGATCAGGCAGCTCATGCGCCGTATAGTATATCTTAGCGGCCCGAATAGCCAGTGTCACCACATCGAGGATATTCATGCCCTGAAGTTCATACCATCCTTGAGTGTTTGCCTCTGGCATGTTGGGGTACTGGGTAGCGTTGACGGGTTCTTTGTAGGTACCGTGCTTACGCTCCTTGGCTTCACGCAGTGGCTTAGAAGCGGTGTGTAGGGCTTGCTCGAGTTCCGCCTTGAGCTCCAAAATGGATGGTGGCTTGGGGACTATCTTTTCTCTGTGATGGTATGTGCTCACGGTAGGCGGGAGCATTCCGGATTCGGACTCGCTGAAGCTATCGTCGTAATAGTTGGTCATGTCCTCAATGGGCGATTCCACCATGCCGTCAGGCCCAAAGGCCTGAGAGGCGAAACTCTGGGCGCTGAAGTCAGGACTACTCCCCGTGGAGGCATAGGTGGAATCGTAATCGGAGCCGAGGATACCTGGGGTCAAACCGGTCGTGTCCAGGGCAGAGAGATCCAAGGTGGTTCGCTGCTTCTTGCGGGCCAACTGTCCACCCTTACCATCGAGGAGGCCGGTCCGAGCAAAATAGTACTGGAGGTGGGCAATGCTCCCGAGACTCATGACACTCTCGCGCGAGCGAGCACTGGCAGCGAAGTCGGGAGTACCGGTTGGGCGCATGTACCCGCGGCGGCGGGCTTTACCATCGAGGTTGTAGCTGGAGTGGCGGGGGTTGGCCGGTACATCGGGGCGACGAGGTTGGAAGCTGGCAGAAGAGTGACGGGAGAGGACCTGGCTATCCAGGGAGTCTCGGGAATTGGCGTCGGTGCTGGAGCCGTGAGACCAGGACGAGGTGGTCGAGAGGCAGCGGGAGAGCTCCGGACAGGCGCCGATGGCAGGCGTGGGGAGAGTGTCCGGAGGCGGCGAGTCACTTCGGAAAGCCGGTGACTCGTTTGCGGCAGTCGTGATTGATGAATGGGACATGTCTTTTGTCTCTCGGGAGCCTCTTCGGCGATTGCGTTTGTGGTACGGCGCGTTTGGTTGCACAAACGGTGTGGACGTTCGAGGCGGAGGAGCGGCGAGCCGGCGGTGTCACTGCAACTGCACGTACAACTTACACGCGCCAGACTGATGGATAGATAGATGGCCAAGCCGCGCGGCAGCGATTGCGATGCGGTAGCGGTAGCGAATTGACGGATTAAACAACGATAGTAGTGGTGAGGGCGGGCAGCGAGCGAACAGAGACGTGTAAAGTGAAAGTAGTCGACCCAGCAAGTGAGGGTGTGAGTTGAGGTGGGAGGTGGGAAGGCGGGAACGGAACGTGGAAGGGCGATCGAAGTTGGAAGCTCCAGGGGGCAGTTGGGATTAATTCCAGGGGGTGTTTTTGGGCGATGGGGCGACGGACCGGCGGTTTGGCTCAGGCTGGTTGGTTCCGCTCTCAGGCTGTTTGGTTGGCGGGACAGGACGACCAGGGCGCCGTAGGAAATTGCTTTCGGGGGGCGCGTTGCCTTCTGGGGCTGTTTTTTCTTGGGTGAGGTGAGGTGTTCAACGGCGCGGGCGGGGGAACAACGTGATTTAGCGTCCACCGAGAAGACGGTACCAGGATAACGGAACGAATGTAAGGGTTGGTCTTGGGGAGTATTCGCTGGTAATTATATGTCGGTGGTCGAGGTTGAGTGTTCCTCAAAGAGACGAACAGTGATGCGGACAAGAGACGTAATAATAAGAAAAAAAAGAGAAAAGGGGGCCTGGGTGCTTTGTAACTAAACAGCCTGTTCGAGAAACGCAGATGAGGCAAAGACCGGGTAACCCGCGTGTGGAGCACGCGACGACCAAGGGTAGATGGAAGGATCGAGTTTAGTTAGTTTGACAATTACTGAGTAGTCCGTCCGTACTTACGAACACGGTAGCAAAGCACTTCCGTTGCGTAGTAATCGACGTCGGGATGCTGCCATGGTGTCGGGTCGTTTATTAGTGTCCCTTGTCTGGTGTCATCCATATGTCTCCCAGGGCAACCTACAAAGGACGTAGTAGCGCTCCGTAATGTCTCCTGCGATTCCAGCAACCTGGGTTGCTCTCCAATCTCCTCCAGATTAATTGGAATTCTCCGTTCTTCCTTTTCGCTTCTCTCGGGTTACCCTCTCTCCTCTCCCGAGCCCGGTCGTTGATGGGTGATACTCCGTTGCCATGGCCAATACGTAGGTGCAAAGTGTATGTCTGCTAGTGAACAGCAAAGATCAGCATGAAACTGAGACAGATTGCCCTAAGCGACCGATGTTCCATTAGCACTCCCGGCCACTAAGTAACAAGGTATTGTAGCTGTCTCAATTACCACGAACAATCACTCGCTGCTCTCTGCTCCTCGTCAAACCCCATCGTCACTCGGTCCTCCGGCCTAATTAGTGTCATCCTCAACCTGTTCCCCGGATCCGAGCAAGGCACAGCTTGGAATTCCTCTTCAGGCCGTTGGCTGGGCACTGGACTGGTGACCGAGCTGGGTTCGCGTGCATGGCGCCGCAGCAGGCCACGCCTGGGGTTGGCGTGAAGCCAATGAAACCAATGCGCAAGCTGTGAGTTGTGAGCCGTTGAACGATGAGCTGAAAGCTGGTTCATCAAGCCAGTCAGCCGCCGAGTAACCAATGCAACATTCTTTCTTCTGGCAGGTATAGTACCGATCAGATATGGACTAGATATGGGCATGTCAACCAACTCGGCAGTGCTGCCGCTCGATATTTGGGCGCGCAGGTGATCAATGCATCCGTCCCGCAGTATTTGTCGATCTGCCGGCTCATCACATCCTCTTTCTTCACTTATCAATTCAGCGATGCGTATTCGTACATTCTGTAAGTCACATCCAATAGTCTACCTCCCATTTTCATAAAGCCCTCACTTATCACGCGTTATGCATAGCTTGTCTGCGTTTTGGAGGTGTCTGGGAGCGAAACAGGCACGGGTTAGTGTATTATGCACGCGGTATGCTGCACAGGCAAGTCCCACCTCTTTATCCACGGAAGCGTACGGAGCATCTCGTAATATCCGCCCCGACTACCCACGAGTAGGTACTGTAATTGAGACATCTCGGACGCCTTTGCTTCTACCCGCAGGCCCCATGACCCTTCACGATCTTCCAGCTCAAAGACCGACCCCGCTGATGAGCCAGGATAGGGCTAAGATGGATAGATGCTGAGTGCGATTTCTATCCGCCCCTAGCCCTCGGCAACTGGGACTGGACTCGCGCGATGTTGCTTGTTGCTGTCCATCCTTACGTACCTAGTGGTACGTAGCACCGCGTACAAAGATTCCTTGCTTCCTAAAAAGGTTCTGGAAATCACTGACGTGAGCCCTGGTCATTGTCAGGGACGTCGTTGTTTGATTAGGTACGAAGTACGTGGTGTAAGCTGTATACGCAACGTAGCAGCAGATATCCCCGTATGCTGTGACAGTAAGTAGACGAAACCCCTCCGTGACGGATACTGCACTTCGTACGAAGTAGTCGAGGTACTTCATACAAGACGACTTTCTTTGTCGCAATCTCTCGAGTGAGTGCCCATGCATGTCCAGTGTCCCCCCTGTCTGCATACGCCTTCGAGTCGATGCCGGGACATCCCCTGGCGGTGCGCGCATGCGTGCGCGTGCTTGGACGAGCGTCCAGCCAATACCAGCCTGTCACAGCTGTCTGTTCTGTTTCCATACAGACGTTGTTCTTCAAGGCGCGACACATTTGTGTCTGGTGGACTACGCAGGAGGTGGATGCTGTTCTGACCAGATATGGGG